TGACTGGCTTTTGGATCAGAGTCCGGGATGGAGATCATGAGTCCAGGAACAAAGCAGAAATGGAAAGCCAGGGAAGATACGAGCCCAAACCAAGAATTTGGGATGCAGGGACAGAGGCCATGGCTGGCAAGATTCCCAGGAGCAGCTGCAGGTGTATCACCTCACCTGCTGTGTATTCTCCCACCAGGTTGGGGAGGAATGGGCAGCTCGTCAGGGGGAGGAATGGGCAGCTCGTCAGGGTGAGGAGCAGGCTTGTGGGTGGATAGTCAGGGAGGAGCAAAGCAAGTCTGGACCAGGTGTGTGGAGGGGTGCCACTTGCACTTTCATGTGAGGACAACTGTGCACAGATATGAGGTGAACGAGCTGTTACAATGCCCAGCTTGCATGCTGGCTCCCTGGTTTTTGTGCTGCTCAGGAGTATATCGCCTAAGTGTCCTGAGCACACAAAGACCGGGTCCAGCATGGGGTTTCCTGACCTGCAGCCCCAGACTCATTCCGATGCTCTCGGTGCCATCCAATGAACAGATCCATTTGCTTACAAAATGTGAATGTGTTTCATTTCTTAAAACAGAAACTCTCGATTAGTGAAGTGCTGATGAATGAGGGCTGATGAATAAGATAAAAACTAGCGTTGTCCAGCGTCTGTGTGGCCCGGGCACTGCGGCACCAGCACGAAGACAGCGGCTGGCTCTGCTAGCCAAGTGTGGCTCTGGCAACTCCCTTCCTTCAGAGGGAGACAGACTAGCAGAAGCATTGGGTTGGCCGGCGCCTGGGACCGGCAGAGCTGTTAATCTCCACGACCCTTGTCATCATCCCTGCCATTGTCACCGTCTGCAAACTCTTGGCGGAACATGGCTGCACAGTTCTTGAGGTCAAGTGGGAGAAAACGTAAAAGTCTGCCATGGTGACTCACGGGAACATGGTGGTCCAGCAGTGGGGGGCTCTCCTCTGCCACTTGGGGGTGCCTACTGTATTATCAGGCTCTCGTTCCTAGAGGCAAGTGGGCTCCTGGTGTGTGGGGTGAATGATGGGGGAGCCATGGTGACTGTGAGGACCGTGTTGCTCAGTGGTTGTGACCCACCTGAAACAGCAAACAGGAAGCCCCCCAGGCCGAGCTCGGTCCCCTGCAGCCCTGCCTCACCACTCCCCACTGTTAGCATCCCCCAAGTGCTCAGGCTGGCTTCAAACACAATTTCACATTTCCTTTCCACATGTCACTGCAGGAAGAGCAGACACACAGATGTGAGGCGTGAGGAGTAAGAACACTGTAAAAGCTTCCCAAGCTGTTACTTACTACCTAAGAGTGAGGCTCACACCCAGAGGGCTCCACCCGGGGAGGGCCACAGACTCTGGGCACAACTTTTGGACCGTCCTCCTTCAGAAGGAGCTGCCAGTTACATTCCACCTTCACTGATTCCAATTTTTTGCAAAGAGCCAGGGGCTCAACTTTTGGGACTAGCACCAACCAATAAATAGTTGTTTTTGCAGAATCACATCTGACTTCATCTTACCCTTGCAGTGTAGGCTGGAACACCAGGAAGAGAGAGCACTGGAAATAGATTTAATTAGAAGACAAGCCTAGTGCCTGGAAGAAACCAAAGCCTGGGGAAATGAAAGGCTGTGATAGCAGTTGGATCAGAAGTTAAAGCCCAATTATAGAACCTCTATACCTTTTGTGGTAGCCTCCAAATGACCCCCCGTGACCCCTGCCTCCTGGTATTCACCAGGAGGTCGTCCTCTCCCATAATGCACACGATGGCCTGTGTAACCAATAGGACATTGCAGAAAGGATGGAGATTGGCTTCCAAAGCTAGGTCCTGCAGGTCATAAAAGGCACCGTAGCTTCTGCCCTGCACTCTCTTGGATCAATCACTTTGAGGGAAGCCAGCTGCCGCGTCCTGGGGACACTCAAGCAGCACTACAGAGAGGTCTGTGTGGTGAGGAACTGCAGCCTCCCGCCAGCTGCCAGCATCACCTTGCCAACCCTGTGACTGAGCCACCTTGAAGCACATCCTCCAGCCCCAGTCAAGCCTTTGGATGATCATAACCTCAGACAGCATCTTGCCTGCAACCTCAAGAAAGACTCAGTGAAGCTGCTTTCAAATTCCTGACCTACAGAAACTGGGTGAGACAGTAAGCATTTGCTGCTGTTTTCTGTCCCTAGGTTTCGGTGTAACATATTACGTAGCACAGATCAAGAATATCTCTTTCCACATGTACCCTCATATCTGTTTCCATGGGAAGCTGACTTTGTCTTTGGTCAGAAGCCTTGACAGAGTGTCTTAAAGAGGATGGTCTTCTGTTTTCCAGAATACCAGTACTTCCTGATATCAACGCTGCCTGCCTGGATACCCAGAGACAGAAAGCTGCCTTTCTGTCCTCTTTCTTACACTATCTTCCACTGCCATGGCCAAGTAAACAGACATACATGACATATGTGTGTGCTCACACATACACATACCTAAATACACATGCACACATACACACGGCTTTCTCTTACACCTGAAAAACCACCAAAGCACTGGGAATTGTTTCCAGGAAGGACCAGATGATCTGAATGTTTAAATGCCATTCTTTCATGCTGTCTCTGAGTGGCAGGCAGTGGCCAAGGGAGGGCGGGGGGTGCAGGGGAGCTGACTGCTGAGAATTGGTAGATGTTTCTGTCCTCCCTTGCTAGTCACACAACTTGAGCTGGGTGGGCACCCACAGGAGGGCAACACCACGGCTGCAAGTCTGTGCGATCATCTAAAGATTTCGGGATGGACTTTCCCTCTGCTCTCTTCCTCCCCACCCCCACCCCCTCATCTTATTGCTCTGGGTGAGGAGGACAGTCTTCAGCAAGATAAAGGCACAGAGACTTTGTGAGCATAATAGCATGCCTGAATCATGCGAGAGGCAGTCGACATGTTGTAAGAGGAGTATCTCCTTGGTGTGTAGATGGTCTCGCTGTGACACACCTGCAAGACAGGAGGCCTCCACTTGAGGTGCAGATTAAGTACCCACAGCTCCTTCGCTCCAGGATGGGGGCCAGGAAGAAGGCTGGAGCTTGGGAGCCCTTGGAGCATTCCCCAGGGAGAAGTGGGCACTGAGTTTGGAGGAGAGGAGGAAAGCATTGAGGGGACAGAGGGAGGACACAGAAGGAGGGGTCAGGGAGGCCCAGGCGGCCCACAGGGACTGAAAGACGGCCAGATGGAAGACTATGTTTCTCCGTTGTCTTAACTCTGTGCTCACTTCTTGTTTCTTATGTCTGTCCTTCTAGGTGTCCAGGTGCAATTGAAGGGCTACATGAGCAGTGAGTCACTCACCACACGGTGAGTGGGGGCCCAGGGACCCTCCTGCTCCTCACGTCTGACCAGCACCTGCAGAGTGCAGCTGCAAGGCCCCGGGTGTCCTCATCCTGGTTGGCGCGGTTTCCCGCTGTGAGCTCATCCTGCCTGTGACTCACCCATCGGTGCCCATGAACCCCAGGGCTGGGCTCAGCCCCGAATGCCCTCGGCCGTGCGTGAACCTCCTCCTCCTCCTGGTTGTCTGACCTTCCCTCACCCTCGGCCCTCCAATTTAGAATTCACTGTGCAGACACCTCTGTTACCCTGTGATCCTAGTCCTGTCAACCACAGCAAGTTGGGAACTTTGGAGTCAGCTTTGCCTCTCCTCTTTGCTCAGGACCTAAATTGATACTGCAGGGGGTCCCGAGGGCTCTCCCTGAAACTGTGTCCTGGTGACCGTCGGTGGCTTTCCAGCGTCCACAGTCCCCACCCCTTCTCAAACTCTCATGGTGACAGGCCTGGAATGCCCTCTGTTCCTTGTTTGCCCTTAATCCCACCCATATTTCAAGGTACCCATCCCCTAAAGCCTTGTTTGACCCTACAACACTATATTTTTCTCCTCTCTAGAACTTCTATTCATTCTATTGAAACAAAAAAAGTTATTGAGGGCCTGCTGTGTCAGTGTGCTAGGGACTGAGGGCTACAGCACTGAGGTCCTGGCTTCAAGGAGATGAACGTCTAGCGATCATCACACTAATTCATCCTGTCTTTGTTCTCTGTTAATTGTGTTTCCCCAGCCAAACTCTTAACTAGCTGGGTCTGAGTCTTAAATGCCTTTTGTAAAACCCACAATGACTGAGAGATTCTAGAGCACATAAGTTCTTACTTGCTGGCTATGTGCAAATGGGAACCAGAAAAAGACTAGAGAAACAAGTCAACTGCAATCCTTATCTTAGTTAGAGAAAAAAACTTTGGTGAAGAAAAAAAAAAAAGGAAAACATATCATTAAAGACACCAAGCTGTGTTTGAATGGTGTTTTACATGTCTAATCAGTAACTCGATTCAACTTGATAACTTGTTTGACTCAAATTTTTAAAATAATGATTGATAACCCAGTCCCCAAATTCCACAATCATGAAGTAATAGACACATTTTAAGATTAGATAAAAATGATCTAGTAGCACTTAAACAATTAGAATGTGGATATTTGGCATTCCCGAAGAGATTTTGCAAGATAGAAACAGGAGCTAATTGAGAAGCACTGAATACACTTTCTTAGATAGAACCATTCTGCCCTTTTAAGGGCAAGAGTATCTACAGGATCAAACACCCGAGACAGCCATACCCTCCTCTCAGCAAGGATCGCCCGGAACCTGGGCCAGCGACAAAACTGGCTCAGATAATGCCAATGTGACCTTTTTAAGCATCCCCAGGAAAAAGCCTTTTGTGAATCAGCAGTGGAGGAATCTCGTTTCTGTAAAATGCAGAATCTTTGCTCTAAGGGAAAAGTGGGGAGATATTTCACTCCTCCAAACCTTAATGAGTATAGTTTTGATTCTTTGTTAGGAGGATCTCGTACGGACCTCAACCTAACATCCAGTCCAAGGAACGTGTGCCACTTCAGCCCAGAAGAGATCTTCATGCACTGAACAGACGCTCAAGAATTCAGAGTCAAAAGTTAGTCCCAGACACATGTTTGCCATCAAACTTAATCTTAAAAGAATTCTAACTCACCTGCCAGAATATGCTATCTATTGTGTTTCCAAGGAAACCATCGCGACCTTCTGAAGACACCAGTTTGGGGCCAAGAATAGTCATGAATTCATCAAAATCCACCTGGCCGTCCCCTGGAAAGAGAAGATATGAATGTGAGTGGAAAAGCAGCTGAACTTGACCTACTGTACTCACTGCAGTAAACATCTCTGTGCTTTTCTCCTCTGCACGACCTCTATCAATGAAGAAGAGCTGGAAGCTTTACAAAAAATTGTGTCACATTCTTAAAACACCAAAGTAGCACAAGAAACTGGCAATTATTAGTACATCCTATACCACATATTCCTAACCATTGTCAGTATTTCTACCTAAGTGCCCACCCAACACCTCCCACTTAGTATGGCCACACCTCAGCCCTGCTCCCCCTCGACCTCAAACGCCCAGCCAAACGTGCCAGAAGAGGCATCTGCACCCTTGTTACCCCCACACAAACTCTGTCATCGGATCTTGTCGATTTTACCTGTTAAATACCTGTGGTGTCCTAACAAGGAAAGCTAGTCCAGTGCTTAGTCCCCTTTCCAAAAGCTGTGCTGGGACAGTGCTTCCAAGAACTAAAGCTCCTAGTTAGGATAATAATGCTGCAAGTCATCTGGCTTTCTGCCCTCACACTCTTCCCTCCATGTGCTCTTCCATACTTTCAGAGTTTACTTTCCCCAAAGGAAATCCGAGCACACTTTATAAACTTTAATGACATCTTTGACTGAAAATGGGGAAACCACCTCAACGTAGCACTGATCTCTCTCTTTGGCACCATTTTGCCCCAACATTTGCATATGATGCCATGCTCTTCCACAGCTCCATGCCTTTGCACATGCATCTCCTCTGATGGGATGCCTGCCCCCGCTTGGCTACCTGGCCAACACCATCTTGCTCTCTAAGCTGGAGCTGAAATGTCACATGCTTTTTGTTTTCTTCCTGAACCCTCCTCATCTCACTAGGCAGAGTTGGTCAGACTTTCTTCTGTTTCTCCTGCTAACTTTATGTGCATCTGTTACAGAACTTGTCACCTGGCATCCTGATCATTGATCTGCACTCCTGTCTCCACCTGGATTGTGCATTCTGCAAGGTCAAGATCCAGTCTGCAAAGTCTGTGTGTATTCCTTATCGTGGTAGGCACTCGGTACGTACTTGCCTGTTCTTAATTTGTTCATTTCAGCATCTCTCGGATCTTTCATGCTACAGCTGATACTAACCAAACGTGAACTTGAGCCAAATAACAAACACAAGTGAACCTTCACAGCTTTGCTTGAGCCTCAGTGAGTCATCAGTGTGGCATTCTGTGCCCTTGGAACTGCTCCAGAGGGCACTTCCACCGAGAGTTCAGTGCATCCTTATCTTGGCCTCAGCCAGTGAAGACAGCCAGGTGTCTGCACATCAGTTTGCCTAAGTGCAGGCACGTAAATCAATCCACTCTCCCAGTGCATTCACCTTGAAAGAACATTCGTTCAATATCTATTCCAAAAAGCCAAGCAGATGTCATCATCAAGTTGTCAGTAATTCAGAACAGATAGTCCAGGAACAGATCCCAGCGTAGAGGAAACTTCCTAGAGGATTGCGGCAAGTCAGTGGGAAAGGAAAGAATTAGCCACCAAATGGGGTGGGGCAGTCAGAGAACTACCAAGAGGAAATGGATTCGTCTCTCGCCATTCAACAAGATAAAGAAGACAAAGGGAACAGGAATTTCACCCTCACTGGTAATCATATGAACGCTACTTCAAGCAGCAGTGCTTACCATCCTGCAGGTCAAATTAGCAAAAAGAATACCACCCAAAGCTGGCAGAGATACAGAGAGACGGGTTCGCTCACACATTCCTATATACTTGTCCTGGATCTCAGCTGGCAGTACCTACCAAGATGCCATAAAATGCTGGTTCCTTTTGATCTAATAACATCATTTTTTAAAAGGCGAAAGATTTATACGATCCGAAGAGAAACCAGTGTATGTAAGAAGAAAACAAAACAAGGAACTGATCTTGAATGAGGAACACGATGTCTGCCCAGACAGTCATACAGTACCTGTGAAGGTGAAAAATAGAAATCCGGAGGGAGAGGAGAGTGGCCCAGTCTTCCTAGCACCTGACACCTCTGAGAGCTGACTCCACGTGGCCCCGAGTCTCAAACAGTCTCGCCCACTGTACATGTGCGCCAGCCCTGTCACCCCAAGTCATCACCACAAGTCACAGTGGGGGCTAGATGGCCCAAAATGTCTCAGACCAGCATATGCATGCTCCATAGAGACAGTATCACCCCCAGCAGGGCAAAAATGGATCTTTAGGGGACAAGAAAATATTAGATATTACAATGGCTTGTGGGTCTTCTACGTCCCTAGTATATAAACAGATATAAGTATATCTGTGCTGTTAAAATTTCATGTGAGTACAGCAGCTAGGGAGATGCATGTCTTAAAAGGCTCCGAGGGGTGGCGGGGGTGGGGGACAGCTGGCTATTAAAAAAAATAATAATAAAAGGGTAAGAAGCAAAAGGTTGAGAAACTCTAGACAAGCAGATGTCCCAAGTGCTATGGTCCTTCTCTCCTAGGCCATTCCCCTGGAGTGCTGGTCTATGAGCAGCAGGCATCATCCTGACAGTCTGTCACCACCGCAAAATGTGACAGTTCATAAAGGCTTAGAAGCTCACAGACATGGGTCATTTTTACAAAGATTTCATGAGATCTTACCTAACCCATGTGCACCAGGCGGGGTCACCCAAGCTTCCAGTCATGGTGTGGTGGGCACCATTCTCTCCTGTTTGGGGGCCTCATGGGGGGATGGCCCACAGGACATGGACCCACCTCTCTGAAACCTCCCCCAGGATGAGGGAGCGTGGCAGTGTGGAACTGGGCATTTCGGGGTCCTCACAGGGCTCTGGGCCAAGTCATCATGGCACCAGGCAGTGCTCACAGATGGTGCACTTGGCTGAGAAGCACAAACCCAAAGCTGACAAGCAGAAAAATATTGGCCCCGGTGAAGGGAGCCGCTCATTTACTATTCAAAATGCTCAGCCAGAGAGGAAGTGCTTGTGGAGGGGTGCTCAGGATCCTGGGGGGGCGCCCACCATGGCACGGCGGTGCACATGACTTGGCAGAAGAGGTCTAGAGCATGGAAGGATTTGCTTCTAGCAATTTAGGAGAGGACTTTTGGAAGCCAAGATATTTACCAGTCAAAATATCATTTCCCCTGGGATACTGTGATTTACACTAAGAAATACGTGTTTGATCTTCATCCCTGTTTCCTGGAACACAGCACGTGAAACCTTTGCCATTTCCCAAGTGGAAGGGGTGCTGGGAGCACCTTTTGTTCTAATATTTGGCCTCTGACCTGGTTCCTGACAAAGAGTTCCTCAATCCTTTGGCATTTCCTGGGTGACAGGTGTGTCTTTGCTCTATGAGGTGACTCCTCATGACCTGTAGCTGGGCCTGGTCACCAGAAAGACCAAGCCAATGATTAGAAGCTTGGAACATTCAGACCCACTCCCCGTCCTCTGGGGAGGGCAGAGGAGCTGCAGACTGAGTTAATAACCAATCAAGACTGTGTGATGAAGCCTCCATAAAAATCCCTGAAGTATGGGGTGCAGAGAGCTTCGGGTGGGCGAGCACGTGGAGGTGCTGGGAGCATGGTGGGCCCAGAGAGGACACGGAAGCTCCACAGCCCTTCCCCACACCCTGCCTATGCACCTCTTCCATCTGGCTGTTCCTGAGTTGCATCCTTTTACAATAAACAGGTAATGTTAAGTAAAGTGCTCTCCTGAGCTCTATATTCTCTGAGCTCATATTCTCTAGCAAATGACTGAACTCAAGGAGGGGACCTCCAATTTATGGTCAGTGGCACAGGGGACAACCTGGACTTCCAACTAGTGTCTAAAGTGGGGGCATTCTTGTGGGCTCTTAACCTGTGGGATCTAATGCTAACTCCAGGTGGACAGTAACGGAACTGAATTTAATTGTAGAACACCCAATCAGTGTTCACAGAGAACTGGGGAACTGCTTGGTGAGGGAGAAAAACCCACACTTTGGTGACCAGAAGTATTGAGTGTTGTGAGAATATCTGGAAAACAGTTTTCCGTTCCCATGTGCTCCCTTTTAACTCTCACTGAGCTAAAGGAGAGTTCTCCAGGTCCACAGTTGGGGAATGAGGATGGGACCCCCATCTCACCCTCCCTCAGGATGTTTCTCAGGTCTGGTCCCTGAATGAGTGAGAACACAGCACATTTTCTGCAGATCTTCAGTACACGAAGACTCCTCCTAATATAAGGCTTGATGCCAGCCCTACTGGCAGTATGTAGTTTCTGTTTGGATTTAGAAAGAAAAAGGACTCTTCGGCACATCCTAGTTTAACAAACGGCGTGAGAATACCCCCAAAGTTACCAATCCTGTTCCCAGAAGTCTAACCCTCACATCCTCACCCCTTCACCCCAGACGTCCCAGGGGACTGAGACAAGCAGAATCCCAGAGGTGGGTCTCAATCTAAAAACCACCCCAGACTGAGGCAAGGTTTGGTAAGTCTGACGATGATGATAATAACTAACATTTACTGAGCACTGACAATGTGGTCGGTGGTCATTGTTTAAAGAGATATCCAAGTACTAATTCATTTAAGTCTTCCAGCAGCCCATTTCACAGATAAGAAAACTGAGGCTCAGAGAGGTTGAGCCACTTGCAGAAGCTTGCACAGGGAGCAGAGGCCGGATTCCAAGCCCTGGCCTCAGGAGCCAGTCACTGATAGGGTCTGTCTGGAACACTCTCCCCTGATCGCAGCATTCTTTAGCAGAAAGTGTTGTGGCTGCCTGGTCCACAGAGGCAAACTGAAATCTAAATTGCTCTCTGTGGTCGAACTGTTAGGTCTCAGGTCAGCCACTAAAAGTCTTTCTTAATCATTTAATAGAGTAATAATAAGTAATGGGCAATACTTATTTAACACTTGCTATGTGCCAGGCACCGAGCTCAGGGCTTTACACAATGAGAAAACTTAGGCAAGAGGAGGTTGACAGTAACTAGATCAAGGCCACGCAGCTAGCGTGTGACAGAGCAGGGGCTTGGCTCAGAACCCCTGATAATAACCCCACACTGCACTGCCTC